AAATAAATAAAATGAAATCACGTAGGTTAAACAGCCTAGAATAGAAGCTGGCATATAGGAGATGCTAAATAAATGGTAGCAATAACCAAAATAATGTATTAGTACCAATTTAGTTATTATTAATAGGATATACGGTAAATTATTAAGAATACTTTGGCCTTTTCCCCGATCTCTTTCTTCTTCCCCCAATCCAGGAAAGAGAGTCCACCATAGTTTTCAAGGACCCACTGAAGGAGAATATGGAACTTCCTCCCAAGGTGGCAGGTTGTAAGGAAGTCCTTGGAAGAGGTCAAGAATGACAGCCAACCTGGGGACAGTCCCCATGCCTGGGAAGGAAATGAACAAGGAAGTGCCATTGGTGGGTCCCTAGAGTGATGGGGACCAGAATCCCTCACAGGCCCTGAGAGGGAGGGTAGAGTGGTGTTTCTGAGGACATTGGACACCAGGCATCAGGGTCCTGGCTCTGCAAGGACACTAGCCACCTACACGGTGCTGGCCTGTGGATTTCCAGCTCCCAGGTAGCTTTGTGTTCCCTGCCCCCTGCCCTCAATCGGATTCCTGAGCAGCCCTTGGGAACACTGAATTCCCCACCCCTCAGCTGAGTGGGCGCTCAGAGTCAGTTTTAATTTGATTTAGAAAAACAAGGTGACACTTGTCGCATCTAAGTGTGGTGAAGTAACATTCATTCTCACTACACTTTCTTTCTTTACACCTCACACAGCCACCAGCATGGGAGCTCACACGTTGGTGCTCCAGTAAACGTTCTGTTGAACAAACGGAAACATGCTTTCTTCCTCTCCAGCCGATAGGCTTCATATTGTTGGGGGCTCCCCTCCCATGGCACTCCCACTGGCCAGTTGCTTCATGGCATCCTGCGATTCAGGCAGGAAAATGGAATCTAGATGCCAGAATGTGCCGTGAGCTTATCCCCAGGATCAGAGCCTGACTCCTCAGCACTTTGCTTGGATCAGGTTGTTGGGATGCGACAGACAACCCCTGGCCACTAGTCACTCTTCCTCTTGTTGCCAGCAAGCAAGGACAGTGTGGTGAGTTTCCACCACTGACTGGACCTCAGTCAGGAAAATCTGGGCTTGTTCTGCAGTCATTTCCAACACTGGTTGTGTGAAATAATGGAAAGTGCATATATTGGTCTCTGCCCCCAGTTCCTGGCACAGAGCTCCCAAAACCCTTGGAATTTCCTAAGTGATAATAGCACTAGGAGCATCTCTCATTCTAATATTTGGTCTTTGGCCTTGGTTCCTGACACAGAGCTCCTAAATTCCTTGGGATTTCCTGGGTGATAGGAGCATCTTCTGTTCTAATGAGATGACTCTGGTGGGCTCCTGGATCAGGGTTGGTCACCAGAAAGACCAGCCATGATTAGAAGCTTGGAAGTTTCAGCACCGCCCCCCACCCCCCCACCCCACCATCCTCTGGGAAGGGGAGAGGGGCTGGAGATTGAATTAATAACTGATCACGCCTACATGATGAAGCCTCAAAAAAAATCCCCAAAGTACAGGATTTGGAGAGCTTTCAGGTTGGTGAATACACCCACATGCTGGGAGGGCGGCACACCCCAACTCCATGGGGACAGAAGCTCCTGTGATCAGGACCCTTCTAGGCTTCGCCCTATGTATCTCTTCATCTGGGTGTTCATCTGTGTCCTTTATCATATCCTTTATTATATAATAAACCGGTAAATGTAAGTGTTTCCGTGAGTTCTTTCAGCTGTTCCAGAAAATTATCAGATCCAAGGAAGGGAGTCATGGGAACTTCTGATTTGTAGCCAACTTGAACGGAAATTGGGGGTAACCTGGGGACCTACATCTTGTGATTGGCATCTGAAGTCGGGGGCAGTCTTGTGGGACTGAGCCCTTAACCCGTGTGGTCTGTGCTAACTCTGGTTAGTGTCAGCATTGAATTGAGTTGTAGGACACACAGCTGGTATCACTGAGAACTGCATGGTGTGGGGAAAACCCCCACACATCTGGTGTCAGAAGTATTGTGTGTGAGACTAGAGGAAGAAACAGTGAGTTTTTCTTACACAAGTTGGCATCATGAGTAGAGATGGGCGACAAGGAGTCGAGACTAAGAAGTCAAGAGCTTTCAGGGGAATGATACCTCACTGTTCTTTCCCACTTACTGGGACCTTTCCTTCCCCATCTGTCTTTGGATGGGAACCTGGACTGATTATGGAGGTGGGTGTGTTTGCCATGCTGGGCATTTAGAACTGCAGATACCAAACATTTGAAACAGGACGTGCAGAGATTGCAAGTATTACTACCTATGTGATTGTGTGCGAGTCCCTAACCCTCTTTAGGTCTCAGAGTCCTTCTGTGTACAGGATTGAGAGGGTTAAATGAGATAGTGCTTGCAAAGCACCTACTACGCTATGTGCCAAGCACTCTGATAAGGCCTTTGCATGCATGTTGCTGATGCTGACATCTGGTGAGGACCCTCTGCTGGAGTTGAAGCTGAAGTCATAGTGTCTACACTGACCTTCACAAGAAACTGTGTCTTGATTCAAGATGGCAAATCTATTTTCCCCAAACCTCTGACTGGCCTTGCGGACACCGTCCAACTCGATCATTTAAGGCACTGACAGTTGGTTTGGATTTAATATATGGCATTTCCTGGAGCCTCTTATGGGGTTTAGTTTAGTCTCTTTACCATTTTGTTAATGAAAATAACTTAATCTGAGGGGGGACTTTATAGTTTACAAAAAATAGATTCCGTAGTGTTTTCGCACAGATTCTCTTGTATGTGAAATGGGATTGGAGGTAGATATGTGCACGTGGGTGGATTTAAGATAAAAATTGACCCAAGTCCAGTCTGCTGAGAAAACTGTGATACAGGGCCTTCTTATTGTCTGATCAGAAATCTCCAAAGCCCTCAAGCCTTGTCCTTTTTATGATTGCTGAGTGTAAAAAGAATTTATGAGTGTAAAATGAATTATTCAAAGACCAGTGATGAACATTGGTTTAAGCTCCACCGTCAGAGCCCCGAGGCTGCAAGGTCATGTCTGAGCATCCGTCAGGCCTCCTCAGGGCCAGAAGTCCAGCGCTTGGCCCTGACAGTTGGGCAGAGGGCACGCTGGTTCCAGAATGCTGAGCGTGGCTGTTCTCTCTCTCAAGGGCAGGCTCCTGCTGCATCCCAGTGAACACCAGCTCATCAGGGAAAGGGCTCAGGAGCAGAGACTGGGCATGAGCCCACGGACTTGACATCTTGCCCAAGGTGGGCTGGGAGGGAGCACGGATGATGCCTGGGCCTTCAGCATCCTCCATTGCCCACCCAGCACCATCTCCCCTTCCTCTCCTGCATTTTGTTTGGAAAGCCACTACTCCCTGACTAGACTCAGGAGAAGGGGCTTTATCCCCAGTTCCAAGGGTAAATCCTGGTAGATCTAAGCCAGTGGTCCTCGACCCTCATTTCCCATTAGAACCACCTTTGGAACTTTAACAGAATTCAGACGGCTGGGACCCAGTCCCTAGAGCCGAGAGCAGGGCACAGCCTTGACTCGCCTGGAAGCTTGTTAGAGAAAAAGACTCGCCTGCTGATCCAAGGCTGAGGCTGAGCCTTCCACATCAGTTTTGGATGAGCTTTTCCAGGAAACCGTCAATTCCCTCCGCTCACCCAACTCCCACCTGGGGAATTTGCATCACCTAATATACACAGTCACATCTTGGGTACATTTCAGCCAGAAAGCATCTCTCTGCCTTTCCTCTAGCATGAAAGTGGTGCCTCTTGACCTTGAATCTGCTCTTAAACCTCTGGAGTTGGCTGGAGCAGGGCCTCACTCCCCATACATGGTCCAGGAGGGCAGACATGGGGTGCAGACGCTTGCCCTTCCCCCCTTCCCCTATGGCTGAGAGGAAGGAACGGGGCAGCTGACTTCTGCCTTCGGCCTTTTGCTCCTCTCTCCTGCTACTCTCGGGGCCTGCTATTTGCACTTCATTATATACAACCTTGTTCTTCCTTGGGGCCCCCAAGTTTCTGCTCTCTTATCCAAATTTCATTTTCTTTGGGGTGTCGTCTCGGTGCCCCTGGCAGGAGGCAGGGCCTGTGAGTCCATCACTGGGGCTTGGTTGGGTTTTGCCTGTAAAACTTGCAGCCTTTAGAGTTGGGGACAGAGCCTGGGGATGATTTTATCCAACTCCCTCATTATATGAATGAAAAAACTGAGGTCCCAAGGGCTGTCAGGGCTCTGAACAGTGGGGTCCATGGCCGGCCTGGGAGCAGACAGCCCGCTATATGCAAATAGCCAGGGCAGGGCCGCCCAGGCAGAACATCTCAGCTTCAGAGCAGACAGGGAGATCAGGCTTTACTTACACAGGGTCGCAGAACAGCGGTCTGGGTTCCTGGCGCAGCGGTATGTGGGATCCAGAGACCTTACTCTGCTAGAAGGACCCCCGACCACTTGGCCTCCACTCCATGCGCAGCCCTGATAATAGACCATCCACATGGTCGTAGTAGGGGGGCCTCACTGACTCACCCCTGGGGCAGGAAGGAGGCTGGTGAGTTCCTGGTGGGAGGGAGCCAACATCCCGACGACTGGTGACCGGGTGATTTTATCCCATAACTCATCAGACTGAGATGTATTAGTCTCCCTCTCCCATTTTCTTGGGGTGAAAAAGTAGACTTATCAATGTACTTTTTAAGTGCTTGAGGAAATAAAAGATCGGAAAGTGCATTGGGGAAGGGGCCCTAATTTATGATTTCTGAGTTGAGTTTGTACACTTTAATATCTGATAAAAATCTTTCGATTGTAGAAAGGCTGCAAATAGACCCCAGTTCTGAGATTAATTTACAGATAGAACGAAAACTGTAGTGGCTGCACAATTATTGATACATTCACCCCTCCCCCACGAGGGAAGACAACGACCAAGAACCTGTCCCGAAGGTAAGTGTAAACTGCCCGTTCCTGGGTACCAGCTGCTTGATTTAGCAGCTCAGCATCCAGGCCACCGAAGGCCCTAATGATGTCACAGTCAACAGTCAGCTTGTGTTCAGGAGTAGATTCTATTTTTTCCATGTGCACAAAAACAAGGCTGGCACAGTGACAGAGAAAGTGCTGGAGGGAGAGAAAAGGGCATCTGAGGAGCTCATTACATTGACAAGAACTGGAGTAGAGCTCATCTAAATAACTGTCCAGTTTGGAAACGCTACCTAATGGTCTCCAAGTTCACCATCCGACTCCTCTGTTCCAGGAGAACGTGGTTTCCGTGCTATTCTGTAAACAGCGACCAGAGAGTACAACAGTCATTGCAGGTGCCAGAGGAGGGGCAAATTGGGGCTTTAGAGGCGAGGGATGAAAAGTCACACATGAGGGCAATCTGGAGCTTTCTACATGAGGCTGAATCATTAGAGTTGGGAGTGAGTGTGCTGGAGGGGGGCTTGGAAATAAATCAGGCCAAGCCCCTCAGGGCAGAAAGCATTGCCCAAGGATCCACGCGGAGAGAGTAGCTAAACCGGGACCAGAATCGGCCTCCTTTATCTTTCCCCCCTACTGTGCTGTGAATCAAATACAATAATCCAGCTACAAGCAACCTGCCTGCTACGGGCTGAACTGTGCCCCTCTCCCCAAATTCATATGCTGAGGCCCTCACCTCCAGTACCTCAGAATGCGGCTGTATTTGGAGACAGGGCCCTTAAACAGGTGATTAAGTTAAAACAAGTTTGTTAGGGCGGGCCCTCATTCAGTCTGACTGGTGTCCTTTTCAGAGGGAATCTGGACACCAGGGGCCTGCACGTGCACAGAGAAAAGACCTTATGAGGACACATCGAGAAGATGGCCATCTGCAAGCCAAGGAGAGGCCTTGGGAGAAACCAGATCTGTTGACACTTTGATCTCGGACTTCCGGCCTCCAGAACTGGGAAAAAATAAATGCCGGTCGTTTAAGTCCCCTAGTGTGTGGCCTTTGCTATGGTGGCCCGAGCAGATGGACACACTGCCCTTCCGAAGGCTGCACGTGCCAGATGTGTGGGTTTCTGTACTCCTGTTCAGAGCTCACCATGGCTTTGTGCACCAGATGCTCGTGACACCTTAAAGAGAGCAGGAGAAAGAAAAGCGGGCATGGCAAAAAATACACAGGCGAGAGTCCGGCATTGCTTTGCTACTCAAAATCTCAAAACCAAAAATGCTCAAGCAGAGAAGACGCCTGGAGAACCAAGGGGGTCACGTCCTGCAGTGACCTTTCCACTATCCCCCCTCACCTCACGGAAGGTGCGTCACACCTGCCAGCTCAGGTTTCCTCCTAGGGAAACAGGCTTCAAGCTGCCTCATCTTCTAGAAGCATCTATCTGCCTACATATGTCCCGTGCCCAGGAAGCAGACACTGCCCTATATTAGGATTAAATTGGCACCCCCAAATGTTCACGGGCATCCTCAGGAGAGCAGCTGGATCATTCCAAATCTGGCTTGTTTTGACTCAAAATGCACCAGGTGTTGGCACATGTGGCTCCAAATCCCAGGCAGCCTCTTTGAAAGCTGCCTTCCACCTAGGTGGTATAGACATCTGTCTACATGATTAGATTTTAGAGCCTGGGACCAGAAATATTGCTCACGCGAGCAGGGACAGTATCCCCAGGGCCGGAAACAGTGCCTGGTAATATCAACTCGGACCAGCCAAATTCTGAAATTCTCTGTCAGAGTCACTTCTTTGGGGTAAGGCTTTAAAGACCCCTGTTAAATATGTTATCAAGGGCCACATATATTAAGACATCATCAGCCATTAACACCTATTCGTGACTTTATCAGAGTGGCTTCAGACACACCCTTAGCCCCTTAGGGACCAAGGCAGGGGCAGCTGAGTTCTGGTGAGAGGAGAAGGAGAAAAATTCACAGCCTGCGGGGCGGAGGGGGCAAGGGAGGCGGAGAGCATGGACAGCTGTCTTGTATGGGGGGATGTGGGTGACAAAAAAGAATAAAGGATTTCACAAGGAACGCTGCCTGACGATTCCAAACCAGCCAGACCTCCATATCGCAGTCACCTTTTGACCCGATGGCCCAGATCATGAACGTGAGGGCCAGGCCAGTTGGCCAGCACACAAGTCCAGCTGGGTGTGTGTAAGGAATTTGGCATCTTAGAGCTGGCCTTGGCCTGGGGCTGTGAGGTCAGGTGTGCAGGGACAAATACAGAGCTGGAACACCTCTCCCAGGTAAGGCGAGAGCTGCTGGAGATGGGCACTCAACAGGCGGGGCTACACCCATGCTTTCAGCCAATCAGCTTGCCCGCGGGCTCCGACCCCTGACACTCCCTGGGGCAGTTAGAGCTACGCTGGGGAAGCATGGAGGCGACATGGGTCAAGTGATGACAGCAAAGCATAGGGGCAGCCTGGGCCTGTCCACCAAGGGCCTGGGGCTCACAGGCCAGCAGGGGAGCATGGGAAGGGCTGTCCACTGTCCAGAGTCCAGGGACGGAGGCAGCGAGGCTCAGCAGGGGGAAGATGACATCTGGTCATAGTCGGGGCACTTGAGCAAGGCTGGGTAGTTGCTGTTCATCTGCAGGGAGGCGTCGCTGGAGATGTCGGAGGGGCTGCGGCCCCGCACCCAGGCGTCCGGGTGCAGGAACTGGCCCGAGTAATCGGAGCAGTTGCTCAGACGTGGGCGGTAGAAGCCTGGGTGAGGCCTGTACATGTCCTCGGCGGTGTACCTCTTCATGAACAGGTACACGGACATCACCCCAGCACTCTACAGTGAGGAGAAAGCAGAGGACAGCTCACTGCTGGGGGCCTGTCTGTGCAGGACGCAGCCACGAGAGCAGCTGGAGAGGGAGGGGAGTGGATGTGGAGGTGGCGACAGGAGCAGGGCGCTGGGACGTGCTGGATGGAGCAGACCCCAGAAGGTAAGACAGTGACACATTCTGGGGAGGAAGGGCAGTCAAGTGGGTGGTCCAGGATGTGTGTAGAGCGTCTCCCTCCTCCCGCTCAGCCCGGGCAGTGCCCCACTCCCCACCCAGCCTGTGGGAAGGGGTTTACCTCCATTAAAAGGAAGGAGATGGCAGCGAAGGCAAACGACCACCCGTACTTGTAGTTGAAATAGGTCTCTGCGTCCTTGGTCCTGTTGAGCATCTCATCATTGATGCTGGAGATGTAGAGCACCAGGCCCACCACGAGAGAGAGGCCTGGGTCAAGGGCAAGGGGCTGCTCAGTGAAGAGGCCTGGGGAGTTTGCTGAGGGGGCACCCACCTCCCCTTGGGGTACAAGAAGAAAGCAACCGGCCTTGTGGTAACAATACTCTCCTCCTGAAGTCCCTGTTTAGACCGTTACCTTCTAGAAAGCAATAGTTGCAGGTAAGAAAGCTCCCTGACCGCCACCTCCTGAGCCATGGTAGGCCCGATGCCTTTCACCCCACCTGCCCACTAGAATCGCCTGTCAGACATACACGCCTGAGCCCCAGCCCCGGGCATTCTCGGTCACTTGGCCTGGATGGGGCTCCTGGCACTGTATTGTCTTAAATGTTCCCCTGGTGATGCTAATGTAACTAAGAGCGAGAACCACTGAGCTGGCAAGTGGCTTTTGCTAAACTGAGGAATAAAATATGCTCCCTCAGCAGAGGCAGCCGGGGCCTCCAATCGCTGTCTCCAGCGGTGGGTGGTGACATCACTGTGGAAACCAAGTGGCCCATGGTCTATGCCTCCCACCTGACCACTGGTGTGGCCTATTGAGAGATTTAGGCAGGAGAGGTAAAGAGAGTTTGTCCAGATTCTGGCAAGCATTAAATCAAGAGGCCAGTGGGACCCAAACTCCTACCGCCACTGTGCAAATGACCGCCTCAGGCCATCAGTCTCGCCAATTAGTGACTGTAATTGAATCAGGACATAATTAATTACTCTGTTTTGAGCTGTTCAGGTTTAATACCATTCACATGATTAAACTAGGGCATGTTGAAGGATGAACGTTAAAGGAAAATAAGTGTGATTCAAGCCATCCTCAGCTCTTAAACTCGTACTTGAATCATTGCTGGTCCAATCTATTGTTATACTAATCATAAATCTATTGTTATCATTAAAATAACTTCACGTGGCCCAGTTCAATCTGAGATTTCTAATCCTGTAGCCTGCTCCTGAAAAACTTCAGGTGCCTCGAAGCTACTGTATAGCCTTGACTTTTGTGAAGTTCATAGGAAAAGAAAGGAATTGCTTAACCCTGGGTCGGTACCTTTTGGACTAGGTGGAAATATCACCCTGCAGAGGGTGGGCTGAGGACACTGCAGGTGCTCAAGAAATATTTGTTGGATTGATGGATGGAAGGGTGGATGAATGGATTAATAACTGGAAGAATGGGTGGAAGATGGGTGGGTAGGTGGGCTGAAAAATTGATGGACATGAATGGAAGAAAGGATGGATGGATAGAAGGAGAAAGGAAGAAAAGCTCTTGGGCATCAGGCATGCTGACTGCCACTTGGCTCCCAAGCTATATGGTCAAGAAAATGTTGGGAAAAGAAACCTAAATGGGCTTGGGAGTCAGGTGGCAATCAGAATACCTGGCGTCCAAGAGCTGTTTTTCCTCTCCTCTTTCTACCATCCATCCATCCATCCATCCATTACTCAAGCCATCCACCTACCTATCTTCCATCTGAGCATCTCCTCCCTTTATCAACAAGTCCAGGGCTCCAGGCCACCTAAAATACATGCCCAGAAAGTCACTCCTTTGGCCTGAGGAATTATCTCCCCAAAAAAGGGTCCTGATGAAAATGCACAGGTCACCTTGAAGGGGAGAAAGAGCCTACTTTACTTACTACATTCCCTTCCCTTCTCACTCCATGCACTCCCTGTGAGTAACCTCATCCACATCCATGGTTCCCCCTCCTACTCCCTAGGATGACAGCTCCCAAATCTTTCTCTTTGGTCCAGGCCACTTCCATGAGCCCCAGACCCTGACCTCAAGCAGCCTTCTAGACGCCTCTTCCCAGATGTTCCATGGACATCTCAAACTCAGCATTGCCCACACGAACTCATGACCTCTGCCCTGAATCTGCTCCTTCTCCTGTAATCCCCAGATCAGTGATGCGCTGCGCCATCCACCCAGCGCCCAAGAACTTGGTACTCACCCTTGACTCTTCCCTTGAAAGCCTGGTCCTAGTCCTGATGAGATAACCTCCCAAATGTCACTTGGATCCTCTCATTTCTCTCTTCTCTACTATCGTCCCCTCAGTTTGGGCCACCATCACCTCTCTCCTGTGCCACTCAAATAGCCTCCTGCCTGGTCCCCCTGCCTCCTGTCCTGCTCTGCCCTCCCACTCTACTCCCCAGGGGGTCATTCTAGAATCCGCAGATCTGATCACATCATTCCTCAGCTTTAGTCCTTCTGAGGCTTCTCACAAGTCCAAAATCCATAAGGCGACCTGAGAGGCCGTCCCCCGTGTCTCCTCACACCACATCCCTCCTTACACTCCTGACCCAATGAGGAGTGATTGTGCTTAGTCTCCCCAGTGCTTCATCCTCTTTCTTTCCTCCAGGCTCCCTCCCTGCCCCCACCCCAACCACACTTCCCTAACTCACTCTTGCTCACCATCTCCTGGAAGTCTTCCCTGACCAACTCTTGGCCTGAGTCTCAGCCACTGCTCTTGGCCCCAGTGCAGTCCTTGCTGACGGCCCTCCCAGCCCTTTCCATGCTGTGGCCACATTTCCTGTGGGCGTGTTTGTGTCTCCCATTGCACTGACCTCTCTGTGGGCAGTGACACCAGAGCCCAGGATAAGGCCCGGCAGACATCGTGAATGAATGAACAGATGAACGAATGAAAGAAAGAATGAATGCTGAAGCATAACCTGGTGTCCGTCCAGGAAGACAGGTCCATGTTGAAGGGCCCTGGGAGGGCCCAGGGTGTGGGGTGTGACTGGAAAGTGAAGGGGACAGCAGGAGTCACCTGAGGATAATGGAGGGCTGGGAGTGAAGGGGCCATTATTCCTAAGGCAGACAGTATTCATCTTTCATGAAAAACCACAAAGATGTAGCCTCTTCGAGAACAGGAATACTCATTATCAGTGGGAACTAAAAAGTAAGTGGGTGTGATGGTGAAGGGTGAGGCAGGAACCCGGGTTCTAACCCCAGCTCTGCCCCAGCGTGAGCCTGTCAGGTCACTCCTCCCCCAGCGTTAACAGGTGGGTCTGAGGTCACGAGAAGTCTCCTCCAGCTCTGACTCAATTCTGCCTGCGTCACCGCCTCAGCTGGTCCGGTGCCTCAGCTGGGGGGGGGGGGACCCACAGCCGTGACCAGGACTTCCCAGAGCAGAGCTGCGTAAGTCCAGTGTGTGTGCAAGAAAACAACACAGCTTACCCGAGAGGATAAAAAAGATGCCGGAGACAAAGGCCAGGATGGTCCTGTGGGGACGGATGTGTCCGATGTTGCTCAGGATAAACCCGATGAACATGAAGAAGAGGCTGACCAGAGGGAACGGTGTGGCCGAGCGAATCATTTCTAATCGAGGGGACAAAAGGATGCTGTCAGCTCCCACTGGCCTTCCTCACCGCTCACCCTCCCGGGTCGAGTGTTCCTGGCAGCCTCTACCAGCTGGTCCCCAAAGCCCCCACGGGGCATGAGCTCCCTGCGCTCCAGCCCCTCCTTGGATGGCCTGGGACCTCCCAGTGCTGACAGGATGGTTGGCCCTTAGCCCTTAGCCTCTGGAGTCCGTGCCGACTCGGGGTGATTAATGTCTGAATTGTACTGCAAGTTCACTCTAGGGCTCAGAACCAGCCCTGGTGAGGCTGAGGCCGGGAAGTCACTCTCACTGGGAGCTGAGTTCAGTTCCCTGGGGACTCTGGTCTGAACGTCTGTGTCCCCTCAAAATCTTCTGTTGGAACCTAATGCCCAGTTGATGGTAGCAGGAGGTGGGGCCTCTGGGATGTGCTGAGGTCATGAGCATGGCCCTCATAAATGGGATCAGTGCTCTTACAAAGGAGACCCCACAGAGCCCCCTCGCCCCTTCCACCACGTGAGGACACAGACAGAAGGCACCAGCTGTGGACCAGCAAGACGGCCTCACCACAACGTGACTGTGCTGGCACCTTGATCTTGGACTTCAAGTCTCTGGAACCGAGAGAAATAAATCTCTGTTGTTTATAAGCTGCCCGGTCTGTGGCATTTTGTTATAGCGGCCCCAACAGACTAAGACACTGGGGATGGACGCCCTCTCACTCGCCTGGCTCAGGAGACTGGGAGACTCCAGCAGCCTGTCACCACCACTGGGTAAACAATCTGCAGGGCAAGCTCTGGCCAGCACAACCAGCCGAGTCCAAGGGCCTCAGATCTCAAGAAACAAGCTGGTCACCCTGACTCTTCCCTCTGCCCTGCTTCGCTCTGTCCAGCCAGTGGCCCAGTTGGAAAGTCCCAGGCACCTACTTAGAACGTTGACGGTGGACTCGGACGTCAGCTGGGTGTTCATAGGCATCACATATTCTATGGTGAAGCAGCGTCCCCGCTCCTCACCTAGGAAGATAAGAATCATTTCCATTTCCAGGTTTTTCTTGAACATGGATTTGAAGTTAGTATATTCAAATGGTGTTTCCAAATGCTACCAGGATCTGTGACCCGCTGTGTATCTGCACCTGGGCTGGATCCAAACCCTAGGGGCTCCCGTCCCTAGTCGGTGGCCCACAGCAAGGGTTGGGAGCACATCCTAACATCACACCTTTGCTGGAGACATACCACTGCATCTGTGAAGATGGACCCAAGCACCGAGAGCCACAGGAAAAGTGGTCAGCCTGCAAACGCAAGGTTGAGCAAAACTCCTGGTGGCCGTCTTGTCACCCTGGGACTGACTGAGCTGATGACAGTGCATGGCTGGCTTCGATTCCCCAGTGTGGGTATCATAGAGCAGAACCCCAAAAGCCTGGTCAACCACTTTGGGAGCCAGTGACTTCAAACTCTGCTTCAGATTTAAGCAGAGACCAAAGCCACACAGTCTGGGGCAGTGGGAGGGGAGGTGAGTCTTGGATGCTATTCCCAATGCAGATGCAACAAGCAGGGCTCCTCCCTGCTCAGTATTGGTGGGCACCAAGCACACCTCTCTCCCCAAAGCTGGGAGGACCAAGAGCTCCCTCTGCCCAGTGCACACGTAGGTTCCAGGGCCTTCCAGGAAGGGCTCAGTGACCACACTGGCGATTCTGGCAGCCCAGGCTTGCGGCCAGTCTCACCGGGCACAGAGATGCTCTTTTGGGCTGTGATAAAGGGATAAAGGACAGAGCCCTTGGAGTAACAACTCAAAGGTCCAGAGAGGCCCTGGAAAGCTGGCAGGTGGCCCAGAGAGGCAGGATCAAGGCCTGCACCATCTTGCATAGTCAGAAGGACCTGCATCTTTTTCTCTCTGCTGTTTTCTGGAATAGGAGCAGAGAAACTAATTAAGTATTTCCCATCCTGTAAACTAGTGAAGACAAGGGACGTGGAGTCAAGGAGACTTCCTTTGCCCCCTGAATCTTCATTTCCTCACTTGTAAAATGGAAATAATAATAAGTCTTGCCCGGCAGTGTTGTGGGGAGGCCTGAGATCAATAATTCAGGGAGCTAAGTCATGCAAAGGCATGTTCGGACCTGAGCGAGGTCAGCCTCATCCAGCCTGCGAGGCAGAGGGTGGGGAAGGCGTGATTACGTGGGTCCTCCAGATGGGAAGAACCAGGTCCCGCGAGACGGGAGGACTTGTTCAAATGGACGTCGCGAGTAGGGCTCAGGTTTGGAATGGGTCCTGGCTACTGCAGGGAGCACCGCCCAGAGGACTGCCCGTGGTGAACTGCCTCCTTCCCGCAAGGGCACCTCTCCCCAGCGGGGCACCTCTTGGGCGGGTTTTCCCTGGGGGAGGGGCTGCTCCTCACTTGTGGGCAGAGCTGTCCCCAACCCGGTGCCCATACCTGCGAGGAAGCAGACACGCCACAGGCCCGAGTGCAGGGACATCTTGACCTCTGTGCTCTGGTTCTGGGGCAGGACCACACCCTCCTCCAGGTACAGCCAGTAGTCGGTGCTGACAGCGATGCCCAGGAGGCCCAGCCCACAGACGGCAAAGACGCTGCTCAGCAGCGTCAGGGCCTTCCTCCCGCAGGTGCTCATCTTCCCGCCGTTCGGTGGGTGGCCTGCAGGGAGGGCTCTGCCGGGAAGAGAGAGGGGGAGCAGGCAGTAGCAGCTACGGTTCGGAGGGGGACAAGATGAGAGGCCTTGGGCAGTAACCCGGCTAAATGGATGGATGAAGACCAGCAGGCCAGCTCCCCGGATGCCCTGCCACCAAGACAGGGGTGCCACCCTCTGCCTCTCTCTGTCACGAATTCACAGCTTTCTTGACAGGCCACTACAAGGGGCCCCCTTTCCTCTCTGGGAGTCCCCCTTGCTGGATAAGGCCGTCCATTCATTCATTCAGCAAACCACTGTGCCGACACGGGAGATAAGATGGACACAACACTATCCTGCTCCTGAAGAGTTCCTGTCTAGAAGCACAAAGGCACCCTCTAAGCAATCAAAATGCAGCTTGAGATCTGCCCAAGAGCTCAGGGAGCAGCCAGGAGGAATGGGGGCGTGAACTCTGCTGGGGTGGACTCTGTGTTGAGAAGGACTCTGAGGCTCAAGTGCACACAGCCAGAGAGCAGCAGGATCCAGAAGGGGAAGTGGCAGCAGCTCTGGGAAGAGGTGGAGGGGCAGAGAAAGCTTCTGGGGAAGGTGTCTTCCTCGTGCACTCTAATCAGTTGTAGTTCTGGGTCGACCTAAGCAAAGAAGCCACACCACAGTCCAAGTCCAGCGGGCCTTCTAAACCCCAGAATCAGAAACCGTCTGACTCTGGCCTGCTCAGCATGCGCTACTGGCAGGAGCCAGCTCTGAACCACTGGGAGAGGCCAAGAGTCTACACAAGGTGAGCCATGGGCACACCTAGTGATACCTGCCAGGGCTGGGCACTGGGCTCGGAGCTGGGCAAAAATGAGGAGCAAGGCAGATGGATGCCCACAGCCCAGCTCAGGGCTCTGAACGCTAGCTGCAATCTGGAATCACCCAGGGAGTGTCTAAAAATCTCTAATGCCTGGGTGACGCTCCGAGAGATTCCAGTGCAGCCGGGCTCATATGGGGGCAATGGCATCTTTTACATGCTCCTGGGGATTCTAACGTGGAGCCCAAGTTGAGAACAATTGATCTTTGCTACTCAAAGTGTGATCCGTGGACCAGCAGCATCGGCATCACCCGGGAGCTTGTTAGAAATGCAGACTCTCAGGCCCCTCCAACTTTCTAAATCACAATCTGCATTTCAACAAGATCCAGGTGAGTTGCATATTTGCTGAAGTCTGAGAAGCACTGTGCCAAGCAGGCAGGTGACTCCACAACAGTGTTGTAATTGCCATGATGGGGAACATCCAGGATACGATGAGAGCCCAGAAGAGGTCATCCAGTGGGGCAGGAGGGGGCAGCAAGGCCATTTCTAGAAGAGGGTGGAGCCTGGGGCAACTCAAACAGTGGGTCCCGCCTAAGGCAGTCATGCTCGCAGTGTTGCCAGGCTGTCAGCATCTCTCACTGGCCTCTTGCTATAACACAAAGTCAGAAATTTTGAAACAAGACGTAAATGGTCAGGAAAGCATCAGGTGCCACAGTGCATGTGATGGAAGGTGGGGCCACGAAGCTTGGGGCCCCAGTGGTGACCCAGGAGCCCCACCCAAGGCAAGGCATCATATCTCAGCTAAGACACAGGTGTATCCTGGCTGAGCCAGCTGAAAAGGGACAGAAGCCTCACTCTAGTCTGGAGGCTTGATTCATGGGCGGAGTCTGAGCCCGCTGCAGGAGCGGAGAAGGGAGAAGTGGAAGAAAATGGGTGCTCTTTGCAAGAAGGGGGCACATCCTGGCCCTGATTCCACAGCACCGGCCCTGCCCTGTCAGCTGACCGTGGGAGAGTTTGATCTATAGAACGAGCCCCACGCTGGCTTCCTGGAGATGTGTGTGAGTGCATGGAGGCAAAGGCACTTGTCCTCCAGGTCCCAGGGCATGGGGGTTTAATCCAGGCCAATCCTTCTGCATTGGCTTTGACAAAGAACGGAAACATGAAATGCAAAACAGCCAGCCCTCCCCACCAAGCTAAGTCATTCTCCTTGCAGTAGTGGGGAGGGGAGAAGGTGGGGAGGGGAGAAGGTGGGGAGGGGACGGCTTGGCTCCTGATTGGGTTACAAGGATCCAATAAAGGACCTACTATGGGTGGAGTCCTGTGCTTGCTGCTGCAGAGGAGGCAAAGGAATTGGAGGCACTGTTGCTTGCAGAGTTCACCAGCTGGGAAAACAGGAAACAACGGCATCATGACTATAACACAGATGGGGCAGCATCACAACAGATGGAGCCTGGGTCCCCAGGAGGAGGGGCCGGGCAGGGCAGGCTGCCTGGAGGAGCCCTAGGGAGATGGCTACATGGTCAGGGGGATGCGGAGTGATGTGGATAACAATAATCAAGATTTTTATAGTGGTTTACTAAGAACTTTCACTTATGTTTGAGGTTTGCAAACCACCATTATCTGCCAGAGGGAAGGGAATTAGAACCCCAAGGATGGTTAGTGGGGGTCAGGGAAGGAGAAAAGAAAGGGATAAGATGCCCGAATGACAGTGACAGCCCCACACGCTGCAGAGAGGCTTGAACCGAGAGGCAAGAGGCCTGGACTTCATACTCAGCTCTGTCACTAAAGCTGTGTCACGTTGGACCACTAACCTTTCTGCGGCCCATTATTCTCCGAGGTGACACAAAGAAGAGAATAATAATAAAAGCTAAAGTACACTGAGTGTTTATCATTGTTACGCATTCTGCTGAGCACTTTACTCTCTATTTTAATCCTTACAACTCTATTACCATCCCCATCTTATAGGTGAGCAAATTGATGATCAGAGAGGTTAAAAAACTTGCTCAAGGTCACTCAGCTAGCAAGTGGTGGTGCCTGCATTTGAATCTCACCCCGCCTTATTCTCAAGACCTTTCTTGTGCTACCCCTAGGAGTGTTTTCCAAAGTGGGTTCCATGGAGCAATACTTCCATGGAATATTCTAGCAAAAAGGACGCTGGTGAAAAAAAGCTTAGGAAGCACATTGCACATGAATATGTGAAAAGCCTGAAAAGCCTGTTTAGCTGTGCTCATTCCAGTGTTTTGCAAACTTATCTGTCCACAAAATGGCGTCCTGTCCTGTGAAATCCACTTTGGGAACGATGCTGCCCCCCAGGAAGAAGGACAAGCCCTGCCCTGCCCACTCCACAAACTGCTGGGAGAGCAAACGCAAAGGCAGATATGACTGTGCTTTGAAAAATCTGAAGCATGATCCTGGTATAAGGAATTACGAGTAAGCAGTACTGGGCTAAATAAGCCCGTTTTCCTGCAGGGCAGACGGATCAGGGCTTCTGAAACACGCCGGCTGGTGTGAGGCCGGAGCTGAACCGCCAATTTGAATGGTAAGCTTAGCAGAGAGACAAAAAAGATCCGGATCTTAGGGGTTTGGAAAGAGGAAGTGGGGAGAAGATTGGATCTGAATCTATAAAAGCAGGAAATAAAAGAAGAGGCTTAAGCTGACTGGCCGCCAGCGCTACAGCAGCAGAGCGTGGGGGCTGGAGTGGGCTCGGGAAACTGCAGAGCCCCCTTCCAGAGCATGTACCAAATTCACGGAACTCCACACGGAGTGCAAAGTAACACTCTTCTTCATTACACAACTGTAGGTATGCTTCTATTTTGAAATCATATTTACTTATAAATAACTAATACTGTTGACTGAGTACCGCAAAGCCCTTTACGTACAGTAGCTCATCAGGACCTCACAGAAACCCCATAAGTGGGTAGTATTCAGCCCCATTTTGTGGACGGGGAAACTGAAGCTCAGAGATGTTAAGTAGCCTATAGGACGTCACAGATGGGTGACAGACTGTGGCTTTAAACCTAGGTTTACGTTTCGGTAAAGTCTATGCTCCTGCTACACCATCTCCCTATCAAAGAAATCAACGGGTTCAAGAAGTGTTGAGGTGAAGAGGTACAGCCAAGGTAGGTCACTAGGGAATCTAGAAATGCATAGGGCACAATGTTTTGCAAGATTGTCTTTGTCAATGGCCAAGTGTTACATCAGGGCTGTCTCTTGAGCCTACTGGGCTGACTATTAGGAGACACCTGGCAAATCTTCTCGTATCAGTTTCATGGAGGTGCGCTGACTCAGCATTTCTGATTCTGAAAACTACCTGTTAGGGCAGAAAGACTCACATTTCCCTTAAACGGCATATAAAGAAATCAAGGTCCAGAGGGGAGGCTGATCTGAGATCAGCCAGCTGGTTCCATGGACCGACAAGAGTGTGAACTGGAAATCTTCTGAATGCTGATCCAATGCTTTTTCCTCTGTACCGCACAGAAAATTACAAGGCAGAAGATGGAAATTACCTGTATTTCCCCACTCTGCAAACAACGCCATCATTAACATCTTAGTTCACACCCAGTCTTATTTCCTACGTAACCACGCATGTGGTGCACGCATCCTCCCACCCAGCGTCTTCAGTTGATGGGGCAGGGACAGGAGTCCCCTTGAAGACGCTCTGGTCGGGAATGACTTCCTGGTCCCCACATGGTCAGGCCCTTGGCCAAGCGTTCGCTTTTACGTGGGCGCGGCTTCCTCCCATAAGTCCCCTCCCTCATCTACGACGTTCATTTGATGTTCTGATGGGGGAGCAGACATTCTTATAAGCTGCTACACCAGAGAAGGTGTTTACGCTATAATATTAGATGAATAAAGCTGGATGTAAAACCACATGTTCATTTAACATGAACTCAACCGTGAAAAGAATTCATAGACTGGAAGAAATAAACCCAAATGTTGACGGTGGATGCTTCCAGGTAAGAAGGTTATGTATATTTGATTGCCTGTATACTTCTCTGTGCTCGACAGAGCTTCTAAAAGAACATGTCTTATTTTTATATCCAGAGAAGAAAATGAAATTAAAGACCAGAGTTGTCAACTCTCCAATCTCTGCCCTCGTCAGCAAAAATGCAGGGCCCCAGCTGACTCCTGGGCTCTGAAATGCGGTGTTACCCTTTGCAGCTTGGGGCCCAGAGGCACAGCAGCTTTGAGCCTTGTAAGATGATTACCCAGGTGCCATTACCTCTAAGTATTAGCTTGTTAATTATCAGGAATGAACAGTCGCTAATTATCATCCATGACTAGCAATTAGGGAGAAATGTCTGGTGGAGATTAAATGACTAACGGCACATCTCCCTGCCCAAGCCTATAATGAAAGGACTTGCAATCGAGTGCTTAGGTGCTTGCAGGTAGGTGAGGTTACAGGCGTGAGTGAGAGCCCAGTTAGAGAACGGCTGGTCGGGAGGATGGACGGGGTTTAACTGGAGAAAAGGAAAAAGAGAGTGGAAGGATAATCCAACACAGACATCCCGGTCTCCATGTCCTACTAGCCCAGAGAAACCCCAGTAGTGCTTGCTGAAGGGTTTGGGGAGCAGGGGTTCCTGACAGGGCTTCTGAGCCAGCTACAGCAGCTGCTCCCATGAGCTTATCTAGTGACTCAGCATCAGTGTGGCCAGCTCTCAGCAGGATGAGCTGGTGACCAGAGGACAACCCCCATGGCTCTGCCTGTTTCCCACTGTGTGGATCCCTATTACATTGTATGGCGGTTAAAAAGTGACCACAAATTCTTTGACACTCCTCCCATTGAGAGGTGGGGTCCATGCATGTCTCCTCCCCTTGAGTCTGGGCAGGTTTGTGACTGCTTAGACCAAGAAAGAAGTGATGCTCTGTGACTTTGGAGGCTGGGTCATAAAAGGAGATGCAATTTCTGCCTGGTTCTCTTGAGAACTCACTCAGGGGGAAGCCAGCTCCCATGTAAGAAGTCTGACTCCCCTGAGAGCAGGGTTTCTCAACCTCAGCCCTACTAACATTTTGGGCTGGATAATTCTTTGTTGTGGGGAGCTGTCATATGCACCGCAGGATGTTTAGCAGCATCCCTGCCTCTATCCACCAGCTGCCAGTAGCACCCCAGTTGTAATACACAAAAATGTCCCTGGGGAGCAAAATTGCCCCTGGTTGAGAACACTGCTTGGGAGGCCATGCAAAGGTGCTCTGGTTGACAGCCCAGCTGAGCTCCCAGCCAACAGCCAGCATCAGCTGCCAGCGATGGGATTGAACCATCCTTGACGTCCAGCCCAGTTGAGCCTTTGGATGACGGTGGCCCCAGCCAACATCTAACTGCACCTGCATGAGAAACCCCAAGCAAGAACTACCCAGCTGAGTACTTCCCAAATTCCTGACCCACAAAATTATGTGTGAAATATAATAGTTGTCATTTTATACCATTATGTTTTGAGGTCATCTGTTATGCAGTGGGAGTTGGCAAAATAACTTTCTTACTCATTTAATTAGCATCTTCTTCACACCACCTAACTATGATATAAATCCCAGGTGTGACTGTCCAGAATGTAACTTAGTGATGGAGGGCCTGAAGGTCATACTTTGATCCCTGAAATTTACAGCTATGTTGGGGAGTGAATGGCACACGGGCTTTGGGATGAGGCAAATCAGAGTTGGAATGCCAGTTCTCTCTTCATTCCTGGGCAAGTCACATGACCACTCTGAACCTCAGTGTGTTCATCTGTAAAACAGGGAGAGTTTAATAAGGGTTGTCATGAGGACTTACAAAAATGTAATCGAATAAGGCTGGGTCACCTCGTGCCATCTCAGTACTATGCTGCAATCAGAAAGTAAGACCACTTGAACCCAAAGAGCAGTGAGCCAAGGGAAGATTTAATAGGGTAAATTTTCCCCTGAAAAGGGACAAAATGTCCCAGACTCTCTCATCTCATCCAGCTTTGCAAATTCCCTCTCCTCATGGCAGTTGTTCCCTGCAAAATTTTCTTCATTTTCACCTCTGCCAAATTTCAGCCTTCCCATCTCCTCTCTCACCTCCGTATCAACTAAAGCTTTTGGATTGGAGAGATTGTAGGTTTTTATAATTTGAGGAGCTAAACCGCTCCACATAATGATGTAAACAGTGTTATTGTGGTGGGCGGAGTGGCATCTGTATAGGCACAGATAACAAATAAAATGTTAGCAAACATGTCAAGTGCTTATTAAGTGTCAAGCCCAACAGTGGCTCAGCATCAGAAGGGAGTGTGTCACCTGAAGCCTGGAGACCTCTAGGTGTCATTACTGTCTTGCTTTCCCAATTTTGGAATCCCCCTTAGTTGGAGACACTCCACCAAGTGGTCATGAGGCTGCTGGCTGGGGGCTGAGGAGTAGCCCGTTTTCCATGCTG